CCCCCCTAAAAATCAAATGGTAGTTCCCTTATGATGATATCATCTTCATTCTTTTGCAACTACATCTGTAAGCTACAAAATATAGATCCGACTCTATTCAAATTGTTTTTCCTCTGTTTTATTCATGATATTTAATCCTCGGATGTTTACACTGGAGTCATGTCACCCAGGACAAATCCTGACAATTCAGGGACCGCGCTGGGCTTCGCCAATGTAGCAGATTGCGATTTTTTTATTTCATCTGGCAACGATATATTACTTTGGCTATATCCTCATTTTCCCCCACATTTAAAATTTGGGGGAAATTTGAAATTCTGTACCTGATGAGGCTGTTGACGTACTTTTTGTTTGTTTGGAATAAAATAAAGATTTCATTTTGAAGAAAACATAATTTTTCATATTTCCCCCAAAAAATTCCTAGCCCCTTTTTTTTTGATACTCCCCAAAAAAAAACCTTTTTAGACAGTGAAATATTAAAGAATTTATTGTTTTTCAGGTCTATTTTTATAAATTATCATATACATACTCATTGCAAAACTATAATAACACTGTCTCATGTCCTCAAAAACTATTTAAACACTGTCTTATATACTGATCCTCAAATTTACCCCCAAAACTATTAACACTGCCTTATATACTGATCATCAAATTACCCCCCAAAACTATTAAAACAATGTCTTATATACTGATCCTCGAATCATTTACCCCAAAAACTATTAAAACACTGTCTTATATACTGATCCTCTAATTACTCCCAAAAAGTATTAAAACACTGTCTTATATACTGATCCTCAAATTTACCCCAAAAATTATTAAAACACTGTCTTATAAACTGATCCTCAAATTTACCCCAAAAACTATTAAAACACTGTCTTATATACTGATCCTCAAATTTACCCCAAAAACTATTAAAACACTAGCTGTCTTATATACTGATCCTCAAATTACTTTTTGTATTTTTCATAGAATTTAAAAACTTATGATATCATGTATATCGCTCATGATATATTTGGTCTCTTAAAATTTCACAAATTCACTATTCCTACCGGGTCGTCCTTCCTTCGCGGGGAACTATTTTTCTGCACAGCGACATCTATTGAATGATTTATTGAAATTATCTCCACTTGATTATCGCATTATAAATCTGGGGTTTTAAAAGACAAATCAGGGATTTGCTGTCCGACTGTAAATGTAGGTGAATTTCGTTAAAACCGGATTTCTGCGTAATTTGGCAAAATTTATGACGGTTTTCTGAAAAATTAATGGTGGCGCCACCCCTTGCCCGCACATATTTTTGCCGAAAAACATTTTCTATACAATATTCTTTACTTTTAAACCAAATCTAAAAGGACGAGGGTTGACGACACATATTAAATCATGAAAAAGGTAGAAAAAGATGAAACATTTCTAGAAAAATGGACTATTTCCTGTTTGAATGGGTTTATACTAATAATTTTTGGGACCATTTATAGCTTATTGTTCGGTGTAAGCCAAGGCTCCGTGTTGACGGCCGTACTTTGACCTATGATGGTTTACTTTTACAAATTGTGACTTGGATGGAGAGTTGTCTCATTGGCACTCATACCACATCTTCTTATATCTATAAAATGAAACATATCCCTATTTCATGCTAATATATTTACAAATATGATGCTGATATATAATTATTCTTATTACACTTTCAGAAATAAACCATACCCAACTATATCAGTCCTATTCAGGACCGATAACTCTGTCGATAAATATTGGCGGGTATATTTTGTACACAAGTTAAAAATTCAATATTATTTTTCTTTAATATCTGGATTTTGCTTCAGACATTGAATAATAAAAAAATAGATGACTAAAATCATATGCAATGAAGTCTCGTTTAATTTTCTATGAAATAAAAGAAAACTATTTGAATTAGAGTATATTTCAAAAACAATTATCGTGAAACATTAATATTTGTTTTTGTGTTTTTAAAGTAAAATTCAATTTATCGAAGAATTTTTCAAAATATTCATATTATGATATATATTTCTTCTGTAGTGTACACGGGAAAGAGAATTATATATTTGTACATTTTAGAAAACTTCTGTTTATCACAAAACTAAACTCTGGAAATACATGTGTATACAGGATGTTAATGTCTACTGATGGCTTTTGGTTTGACACGATTCCTTCACATTACCTGACAATTGGTTGTTATGTAACATTATAAACTAAATCTGAGTTAACCTGTTCGTATATTGATCATATTGGTCAGAGAAACTTTAAAGGGGACATCAATTTTAATAGGTACAGAGAATTTATATATTGTTGTGGGCATGTTTTTTTTTTCTCTCGAGACGAAAACTTAAAAAGAATATATTATTTTTCTATATAAAAATAAATTATACAGAAACAAGGGAAAAAAATTTAAAAATCAATATTTTGATTTTAGTTTTTTCATTTTTCTTATACATTTCAGTGGTAACTATTTTTTTTACTTCACACTTGACATAATTATCTTTTTATCAAGAAATTTAGAAATCAAACATATCAGAATATCAACGAAGAAAATAACAGAAACAGCACAAATTCTGCATTAAAAAACACGATGTTTGAAAATACATGCGACACTTCCAAACACATCCGCCATTTTCAACGGAAAAATCCCGAAAAATTCACTTTTTTAAATCGATGTGGGACGTAATTTCCCCTCGATTTAAACTGTTAAAATTAGCCTGTTTTGGTAGATATATGTGTAAATATTTTCAATATAGCTGCAAATTATTACTTTTATCTACGGAATTTGTGAATTTGATGTACAAGTAGACATGGAGTCGCTAGATTTACCATTGAGCCAACAGGAATGAAGACAAAAAGTACGATTTTTGCGAATCTCCATGGACGTAATTTAATCAAAAATCAAACTGTCAGGACCAACATATTCAGGTAGAATTATGTTCGAATACCAAGGATATAGCTGCAAAAGTTAGAAAACGGGTCAGATTAATGAGAATATTGAATTTTATCGAAGCACCTATGTATTTTCTATTGGACAAAATGACTCGCTACACTACCAAAGTCACGTAATGTCTTACTTAGTTGGATATGAAATGAATTTAAAAAATACATCTGTACAGGGCCGTTTATTGGAGTTACTGGCTCTACTTCTTTAAATGGCGTAGGCATAAATTCAACGTCAGTATAATGAGCAAGTGATGAATATTCAATTTTAGTTGATTCTAGATTAATTTCTTACGATTTGAAACCCCAAAAATGCCAATGCTAAATATAAGGTAAAAGTCCGAGTCAGCATATTCCCGCCATTTAAAAAAAATCAATATCTCAAAAAAGAGTCAATAACCTATTAACCCGAATAATCCAGTCGTTATATTACGCATTTTGTAGAGTCAGACGTACTAGCCAAAACTTACAGCCTTGATTTTGATCTGTTGAAAAAATTTCTCGACACGAATGAAGATGTGTATATATGTACGGTAAGGGCTAGAATTATTCGAGTTAATTACCTATCAATATTTTTAGCTTATTTTGTTTCTTAACTAATGCTCTTCTGATTTATAGTATCAATTTTGAATTATAGATTTTTTAAATTTCACCTAAGTACATTTTTTTGTACATCCTTAAATCTTTAAATATGTTTTATAGATTCAACACGATTCAGTGTTCATAAAGTCAAAATGATTTTGCATGGAAATAATTTATGTGCACTGTCCAATTTCAATATCGACTGATAATGTTAATAAGTTAAAATGTTGATGATTATAGTATATATTAGTCTATTTTCATTCTAGCAAATTCTAAATAATACTATTTCTTTATTTCAGTTTAATTTTTTTTTATTACAACTAAAATTGTATTGTATTACTGTTCCCTCAAGGGAATAAAAGCTTCATCAAAGAAGAACATAGAAAGTTAAGATTTTTCAAAGTTGAACTTTATGTTTATGTCATGTGAATGATAATTTCAATATTGCAACTACGAATTATATTCATAATGACATAAAAATTCCTTATGACTGCTTAGATAAATGTGTTAAATTATGAAATTAATATATTTCTTTAGGCAGAGTTAAGAGTATGTACGTACAAATAAAGACGGGTCTTTGAAAAATGTCAAACAGGCACAATGACTTTGTCAGTTCAAAGATGCAGAGATCCAGTTAGCCCAAAACATTTAGATGACGTAAGAAATCAGCATATAGTTAAAAAGTTTTTCTGGTAATGGAAATGATACGAATCAAACGTATTACACAGGATAGAATATATCAAAAGCATGCACTGCTCGTGATATATCAAACATCAATTACCTATAGTAACAAAAGAAAAACGTAATGTGTTTTTCTGTCAATAGACATGGTGTCTGTCCAATATTCCCACTTGAAAAGGAATAAAATGTAAATATTCTAAGTTTTTGCTGATATAATTGCGCCTCGTGACGTCATAATTCGCGCTTACCGCGCGAGGGACCTACAATAAAATCAAACATTCCCAATTTAAATATAGAAAACTTAACCAAATCGGGGATGCGGACAATTTACCATGTTTTTAAAACAATTGATTTGTATTTGTTCAAATATTTGTCTTTTCAACTGATTTTTATAGTTTGTTCTTATGTTGTACAGTTACACCACTGTCCCAGGTTAGGGGGAAGGTTGGTGCCTTCAAACGAGTTTAACCCCTCCACATTCTGTGTGTGCCTGTCCCAAGTCAGGAGCCTGTAATTCAGCGGTTGTCGTTTGTTGCTGTGTAACATATTTGTTTTTCGTTCATTATTTTGTACATATATTAGGCCGTTAATTTTCTCGTTTGAATTGTTTTACATTTATCATTTCGAGGCCTTTTAAAGCTGACTGTGTGGTATGGGTTTTGCTCATTGTCGAAGGCCGTACGGTGACCTATAGTTAATTTCTGTGTCCTTTGGTCTCTTGTGGAGAGTTGTCTCATTGGCAATCATACCACATCTTCTTTTTATATGTCATTATCGATTGAGTTATTAAAACTATATGTTACCTATCTTGGTCCCCTTAATTTCTTGTAGATAATTATTAGATATTTCCACAAAGTTCGTTGGGTATTCACCAGTTTTTCCCTTACAGCGCCCTTGTGCCCATCCACTATCATCTGTATCCTATATAAAGATGATGAAAGTAAAACATTAAAAAACTGAAAGTGAATTAAAGTTATGCAAATAAATCAATAGTGCATTACCAAAATATTCCAATGTGTTAATATTAAATATTCCTTAGATGTTCGACAGCAATTTTTATGTTAAATCGGAATTTACTCTGTGATTCTTTTCCCGCAATGTTCGAATACATGTCCAAGAGTAATCTAGATGTCGATATCGTCAAAATCGAAAATGTCGACACGATATCACTGACATAACCATGTCGATTTTGATGACGGCTACAATTACAAAACCTGATGTCGATATCGTCGATATCAACAATTTTGACTCAATATCGACTCTATGACTTAAGATATCAAATAAAAATAAGACATATCAAGCTGATCAAATCAAGACCGATGGATCCAGCAGCCAAAACTGTTCAAACATACAGCATAGGCATATAACACAACTGACTGAAAAATTCAAACAAACATACAAATTAAATTAACAAAGACGCCAACCAAAAAAGGTGTAATAGATAGTAAATTTTTAATTTGACAATGACGTCAACAAAAATAATGTTTTCGATGATAGTACATATACCGTATATAGTATATACACTTTCTCGATAAAGTAAAAAATAAGTAAATATAAATACAAGGGTAAACAGAATAGAAAAAAAAAACATTTTAAAAACCGTTTGTGTCCGAATTGCACCTTAGGACCCACCTGCACCAGGAATGCCCAGAGTTAAAAAGTAAAAAACCCGATGGACGGATGTATAAATACCGAGTCATGTCAAAAGTCATACGACCAAAAGAAACATAATAGCATGGAACAAATAACTGGGAAACTAAAGTAAAATAAAAAGATACACAACTTTAGCACCTAGAATCTATAACTCAAGACCATCTTGTATTATTTTTGATGAAGACACTGAATATTTATCTACTAGTATTAGGTCTTCGTACTTTCCGATGAACTTTTTAAGAAAAAGGACGAGACGTTCTTTGACAAAAACCTGGCTCATTAATTTTTTTGCTCGGACACCGATGACGTTTTACAAAGTCTGAGTAGCAGCTGCAAGCTCTTGAGTATAGTATGAGTTGAAAAATGTATACTCCATACGCGGGTGAAGTTGGTATATTGCTGCTAAGGTGAGGAAAATTTATTTTTTTTATTTATAATTTAAAAATTGAAATCGTCTCGTTTGTCATAAATTCTGGTACTGAGATGACCGCTGTTGTCAAATTCGAGGTAAATGGCAAAACATGATGCCGATGAAGCTGCATCTGTGGTTTCTTAAAATCTTCAGGAGGATATATTAATGGGACCCAATCAGATAAAGACTGATATAGGGTGAGATGATGGCTGAAATTGTAATCAAGTAAATCTTTTATTGTATTCATACAATGCAATCAAGTGGACACCTCTGCAAATTGCTGTATCTTTCAAAAAACTTTCATTAGTTGTATAACGTTGACATGGTATAAAGAAAATTTTTGAATGTTGATATGGAATTGATATCGTCGATATCGTCAAAATCAACATCTTAAACAGACGAACAAGGAGAAACTAAATTTTCAATATAGATTACTGAAGCATATAGACATTTGGAACATTTTTTGTCGATATCGTCGATATCGACAACTATATCGGATGCATATAGTTTAAACGAACTAAAAGGACAAATTAGTCGAGTAAACTTTTAAAGGTCTCATTGGAAATCGTACAAAATATCCTTATTCTTTAAATTGCTATTTGCAAAATTTAATGTAGAACATAGACTAAACTATATGAAATGAACAGAGAACCACATGAAGAAATTTTGTAAATGTCGATCATCTCAAACAGATAAACATGGAGAACTAAATTGTCTTTAAGGACAACTGTATCAGATAAACATTTGGAACATAAATTGTCGATATCTAATCGATATAGGCCATATCGTAAAAATCAACAACTTAAACAGTTTAACCATAAGAAACGTGCCAAGTATAAAATTTGGCTGACAACATCGAATCGATATCGACGGCCGATGTTTGTGTTTGCTGTGACTCATATAGTAAAATTTTCATATTGATATCAATACGATATCGTCGATGTCGATGTCGTCGTATCGAAACTACATTGTGTCTTGGACATTATTCGTTTAACGTAGAACGATATCAAATTTATTTTTCAAGCTCAAGAAATAGGAAAAAAGTGAGGTTTGTCGAGCTGTTCTCCTCTTTCTTAGAGAGTACAAGTATAACTGATTACATTTTCCTACTATGTACGAATTAAATTAAATATTGTATTTAATAGAATCTGCAAGTCAAATTCAACTTAAATGTTTTTACTACCTCCGTTTAACGAAGTTGGGGTGTGTCGGTCCGAATGTTCGTCCTTCCGGACCAATTTCTTCTATACTAAAGAATAAATTTCAACAAAACTTTCACATAATCTTTATTACGTTATATGCATGTGCATCTCCTATTTTACTGTTTGACCAGAATGATTTCTGGGGTTTCCCATACAAAAACATGGACTTTTCAAGTTTATATTATAGGGTGTGAACATCCCCTATCTGCAACTATTATTAAACTAGTGCGAGCTATCAAAATATATCTTTCACGAATTCTTTATGACATTGTGCACCTCATGTTTTACTTTATGATCAGATTGATTTCTAGGGTTTTTTCATCTAAGATTAAAGACTTTGCCCTTTCAAATTATGGTTAATAAATCCCCTATCCGAAACACCTCATAAAACAGTAAAATTGATTTTAACTTTCACGAATCGTCATGACATATTGCCATTGTGCACCTACTATGTTCCTTTTTTATCATAATAATTTTTGGGTTTCCCTTACCAAAGCATGGACCTTCTCAAAATATCAACCATATAATGCTATTGTGCACATTCTATTTTTTTATCCGAATAATTTGGGGGTTTCCATTACATGAACTTTGCCTTTGCATTATTTGGGACGTATGATTTTATATCCACAACTCCCCCTAAACTTATTATACACTTTATTGAAACTTCCTCACAATTCTTACAATATTATGCTACTGTGCACCTCCCAATTTGTTTTGATCCGAATAATTTTGGAGCTTTGCTCACAGTACCTCTAGGTTTTTTTTAAATTCCCAACCATATATGTTAAAGAAAATTGAAATGGCTTAAACTTCATTCACAAAGAGGACCAAAACATGAACTGTGATGTAAACAGTAACTTTCGAGACACCATTTTATTAGAAGAGTTTCCAAAAGAATTTTATTTGTATACTTTACAAATAAATCAGACATTTATTAGTATATCTTTTACGTCAAATAAGAAAGTTGTGTTGGGGTTTCCTCCCTTGCAAAAATAGGGTACGAAAGAGTTTGTGCTACTTATCTAAAATCCAAGATGTCTTTCAACGTAGAACACAGATTAACTAAGAACCCTATAATAGAAAAAGCTCAGAAAACAACTGGTGAATGCACAACCAATGCAAACTCAGTGGAGGAAATAATGTTAAACATACTAACACTTATCAAACAATTAAACACTGATATGTATCCACACTTGTTTTAAACAATAACAATGTATCAAGTCAGCAGAGCCGTTACTTTTACTTGAACACCCTTTTCCAAAACCAACCTGACAACGTTTATTAAAAGAGCAAGTTCTCACAGCTATTATAGCTGTTGGAGCTCATTTCTATATCCTAAACTTCATCATTTCAAAGTTTTACTAGTGTTTTGAATCAAATTTCAAGTTTTCTGTGTGTATTTTATAAAACAAAATAACCCATCTAGGTCAAGATATACCCGCTAGTTGTTTATACTTTTAATTATCACATGAGATAACTTATATATTTTGGTACTAGGATACTAGTGAAATTTCATCAAGGACGTAAATGAAATATATAACTGCAATATTGTTTATTAAAGACGCGAAATTTCGGAGATATGACAGACTTTTTCAACCATTGTGATGTTTTGTTAAAAAATCAAAATCGATCATACACATAGTCCAGTGATTTAAATATTCTTGATAAATACTGGCTTCTCACGGATACTGTTGTTATGTTACCATCGTTAGAGGCCATTGAGTTAATCCATATAATTAATACATGTTTATTGTAAGACTACATGATATAGAACTGCTCATGATATAAAGCCCCAGTGTGTTATATCTAGATAAAGTCAATGAACTTTAAGCACGTGTAACTGTTTATATTGTCAATCAAGATAAGATAGGCGGAGTCTCTATAAATGAAAACAGATCGATAAGATGATATAGCAATATCATTACAACCCCCCTCTTGAGACAAGCAATTAAATTTAACACAGTTCATTAAGTCACATTGAAAGTCTAGCCAGTTTGTGTTGTATGTTGAATCTAATTAACTACGATAAATATTTACAGACAAGCATTAAATTTAACGATCATACGAAATTACTTTAGAAAATCACATGTTGATCAATAAAGAAAATAGATAAAATGTTTTCGCCAATGAATAGAAAACGTATACTAAATTAAATAATTTTGACGGACAAGTTTTAATAAATTGTGATTATCTATTTAAATAATTTCGTACAAACGTAAGGCCAGGATAGACTATCCTGCCTTTTCCTACTCGCAAAATCTGAGCAAGGGCATTATTCTGTCCCTTACGGCACTACTCAGATTTCCTTTTGAATTTAACACTCCTCTATTAGTCGAGTAGGTTTTTTGACGGATCTCTCACTTCTTCTAACAAACGATGGTTCTAAAGATTGTTCATCATTTATATTGTCAAAATCGTTGTGATTGTTTTCATTTGCTTCTTGAGATGTTTGTTCGATTTTGTCTTCTTTTGTTTTCAATAAATGTTTTCTGTTTCGTTTGAAAATTTGTCCTTCTGGTGTTTCAATGACATATGAGTTCGGAGTGTTATTATTTCTTACGACAGTTCCTTGGTCCCATTTTCCTTTAGGATTGTGCTGGAATCGTATAGTGTCATTAGGTTGTAGTTCCGGTAATGGTTTTGAACTTTTATCG